CGCTATGAGTCGGTTCCAACTTGATGGCACCTGACAACAACAACAACAACAAAGTAGTAGCAAATAGCTGACTAAAGTTGAACTTGCACTAAATAAACTCAGTGTTTGGAGCAGGCTCCTGTCTTCGGTTGGAGTCGTGCTGTTGATACCTCAAAGAGCGTGTATGTGTTTTGTGCTTACTTGAGTTAATGCTTCACTGCTAGCAGAGTTTTTAGTAATCTGTTTTTGTTTTTTAAGTACTAGTAACCTCTCATCTTCTTCAGAGACTCCAGTTGTGAATGCTAATGCCTCCGTGCCCTTGGTGTTCCGAGGGGAAGAAGTGTCTGAATTCCCACAGGAAGAGCTGCCTGTTAAACTGTCTCAGGTGCCAAATCCACCAGAGACTGTGGCTCTGACCGGCAATTTTCCAGCACATGTATTTGAGCCAGCTGTGTTGTTAACACCCCCCAGGCAGAAGAGTAACTCTGAATTCTCCCCTCTACAGGATGGTAAGCAGACTGCTTCTAAAGTTATAAATGTGCTTGTTTTTTATGCTTCATATATGTCATTTGTTGTGTTCATTGTTACTTGATAAAATATGAAAACTCATTGGTTAGCTGCACATAACCTTTTAGCCAAAGGAGTCATTTTCAGGGCGGTATGTATTATGTACATTGTATCTACAGTGAGATGTGACATTGATTTCATTATAGGTGTTCTATTAGACATTCAATACTTTTTAAAGTATTGAGAGCAGAGATGTCAGCTTTAGGACTAAGGTGCTCCTGACCCAAGCCATGGTATTTTCAATAACGTCATGCATGCGAAAGCTGGACAGTGAATAAGGAAGATCGTAGAAGAATTGATGCCTCTGAGTTGTGGTGTTGGAGGAGAATACTGAAAGTGCCATGGACTGCCAAAAGAACCAATAGATCTGTTTTGGAAGAAGTCCAGCCAGAGTGCTCCTTGGAGGCCAGGATGGCTAAGCTTCGTCTCTCCTACTTTGGACATGTAGTCCGGAGGAAACAATCGTTGGAGAAGGATGTCATGCTGGGTAAGGTGGAGGGTCAGAGAAAAAGAGGAAGACCCCCAACGAGATGGATTGGCCAGGTGGCATCATTGACGGCCTCAAGTGTGGCAGCGGTAGTGAGGTTGGCCCAGGATCGGACATTGTTTCGTTCTGCTGTGCATGGGGTCGCTATGAGTCGGTTCCGACTCGATGGCACCTGACAACAACAACATTAGACATTGTAAATACTAAGCGCTGACCAAGGGATCAAAGATTTTAGCATTAAGATGCAGAACAAGGGGAATCTCCTTTGCGCTGGTGGTCTGGAAGGATATAAAGGAGTAAGAAAGAGAGTTTGTACTCCAGAGAGTAATAAAAGGGCCGCTGAGGAAAGGTGAGAACTGTGACTTTAAGGCTGGTCTAAGTCAGATCTGGTCATCATGTTAACTACCTTTCTCATCAAAAGTTTTCAAATCTGTCAGTTGAGTTGTATTATGAAAGGCAGAGTATAGTTGGAAATAGCTTTCACGCCGTTGGTGCTGCATAATGTAGAGGTTTGAATAAAATACTAAAAATATTATTGTTACTCTTTAGCTCAAGTCTTCAGAAGGTCCATGGACTGCTTCACTGAGTGAAAACTTACGTTATTTATCTGCATGTGCACTTTCCTGGAGCTACACCTGGAAAGTGCTGTAGGCACTGTAGGGTAAGCACTGGGCCACAAGGAAGGTGGTTCAAAGTCACCAGCTACTCTCTGGAAACCCTATATAGGATCACTGAGATGGAAGCTACTCAACACCACTTAACAACAACACCAATACCATTCATTTGATTTTAAAAAGAATCCTTCAATCAGAAAAGTTAAGAACCACTGTCTTAAGACTTTTCTCCAAAATTTTAGAAAATTATTATTCAGCCTTGATTAACCTGAAGTTATTTTTACAAAGATTGTTGTATATTCTATGTCTATAGACAAGATGCAGACAACAGAATTGTGGTAAAGGGATAGAACATAAGTTATATCAAACTTAACAATGTAAAATAAAAGGTATAGTTGACCCAAGGTGGGAGGTAATAAACAGAGAAGTGGGGTAGAATAAAAGGAAGGGGAGTTGATACTCTCTTGTTATTGTTAAGTGCCGTTGCGTTGGTTCTGGCTCATACTCTTCCTGTATAGGGTTTCTGAGGAGAGGCTGGTGACTTTGAACTGCCTTGTGGTTAGCAGTCCAATGCTTATCCTACAGTGCCACATCAGGACTCCATTCTCTTATATAGGGAAACAGAAAAGTAACTGTTGTAGTCATTGTACAAATTTTGTCAGGTTTTCTGCACTTAGATGTATGATTACAGTGGAGGCTATGAGGAAGCCATAATGGGTAGAAGAACACGACAGAGCCTCACTGTGATAAAGCTTATTCTGACCTTTATCATGCACATGCCAGACCTGTCAGATCAGTTTGGTGGTAGAGACTGTGGTAACCTGAGGATCAAAGTGCTGCTGTCTTGACTAGCCCACTCATTAATTGGCTGTGAGTCACGACCCTGACTCTACGATACTTGCCTTCTCTGGGTCTCAGATTCCTTGTCTCTAAAATGAGAGAGTTTTTCTTTATAGTTAATGCCCTTCCCAGCTCTTCAATATCTTGTGACTCAGTATTTCCTCTTCAGAATGCTAGAGAGTTTTATTAATGCTGGCTACATTAGGAAGCATGATCTTGGTTCACGTTAAATTTTTACTCCTTAAAGTGTTTTTTTGGATGTTTGTGTGTTGTTAGTAGACTTGTCTAATGCTATTTCTGAAATTTACTATTTTTCGTGAGTGATAGTAAAATAGTTAAAAAAAATTTTTTTTTAAGGAAACTATCACAATAAACATTTTTACTCTGATCGTAAATATAGTAAATGCTCATTAAAGCAAATTCAGGGACTGTAACACAATTTTTTATTATCATCTTTACCAGTTTTGCTTTGAAAATAATAGCATTGTATATTTCTTTACACTGTGTGGCTCTGAATATGGATTCTTAATTGTGAGGTTTTATTATTGTATTTTTTCAAGTATTTTGTGTGGAATATTTACATGTAAAGCATTTCTCAGTTAAACTAAACACGGAGGTGAAGATGAGTGATGGATAGGCCCTTCCTGTTCAACAGAGCTTTCTGTGACAATGAAATTGTTATGCTCTAGTTCTGTTTTGTTTTATATGGTAGCCACCTGCTACATGTAGCTCTTGAGACCTAAGATGTCATTAGTGTAACTGAGGAACTGAATTTTAACTCTTAATTTTAATTTCAATTTATGAATGGCAACATATGGCAATCATTTTTACCTTAACTTGATATTTGTCTTTCTAGTGGTTATTTCTATAAATGTTTTCTATCTATTTTTGGGGAATATCAACTTTTTATAATAATTAAAGACTCTCCCTTATGAAAGAACCTGTAATTCTTATTGACACCTGCCTCACTTCCTGTTTAATTTAGATAAATATTAGTTTTGAATTCTGTTACTTAATTTTATAACTTTAAATACTTTTTATTTCTTCTCTATTAACTCTAGGCAGTATATTTTGACTTTGTATTATGCCAGATGAGACTGCAGCCCTAGTGTGGTGCTGTAGGATAAGTTTTGGATTGCTTACCACAGGTTGGCAGTTCAGATCAACCATCCACTCCTTGGAAACCCTATAAGTGCCATCGAAGCTGTTCTAACTCATAGTGGCCCTTTACTATGAGTTAGAACAGACTCGATGGCACTTAACAACAACAAGATGAGAATATCAACTCTACTTCCTTCCTTAAACTATACTTCTCTGTTTATAACCTACCACCTTAGGTTAGCTATACCTTTTCTTTTACATTTTTAAGTTTGATACAGTTTATGTTCTATCCCTTTGCCACAATTCTGTGTTCTGTATCTTGTCTGTGGGTGTATACTGAAAGTTGAGAACAAATAAATGACCATTTTGTTTTCATTTTGGGTGTATTGTTCTTCTTAATCCTTGTACCACACAAAGGATTTCTTATTTTACTTCATTACTTGAAATCTTTATACTGTAACTTTCTTGTTTCATTTTTGTTTGGCCTGGAGTTTCAAGTTGCCTTCCCCTTCCCCCCCCCCCCCCTCCCCGTTGCTGACAGTGAATAATGTGCTTATATCACATCTTCAGGTTTTCAAGTCTTTTTATTATTGTATGGAATTCATTTTCATCCCATAGACAACTTCCCCAAACCCTATGATCCTTACTCCCATCTCACAAATTCTTCTCTGGGCCCCCTCCACAACTTTCATCCTGGGATTTGCTATCATTCCACCCCTGGATTTGTTCCTGGGGTCCATCTTTTCCACTGTCTTGGTTTTATTCCTCAGTTTTCTCAAATAATCATCATAAATGGTGTGTGGCAGATAAACTTTGAGCTCTTGAAAATCTGAAAATGTTTTCATTGCTCTTACACTTGATTAATAATTTGTCTAGATACAGAATTTTAGCTTCATAGTCCTCTTTTCTCAGAATTCAAGGCATTGTCATTGATTTCTAGAATTGATGTTACTGCCTGATGTCATATCTAACTTGTGTTTCTTTGTATGTGGCCTGCTTTTTCTCTGTGGAAGCCTGTGTTGTTGTTTGTTGTTAAGTCCTATTGAGTCAATTGTGATTCGTAGCTACCCCGTGTAGGGTTCCAAAGAGTGAGTTTGAACCACCAACCCTGTGGCTAGCAGTTCAGTGCTGATCCTACAGCACCACCCAGGACTTTGGGACCCTTTATTTTCATTCTGAGATTGCATAAACTGTGTTTAAATGTCAGTCTTTTCTCACTGGCTCAGTGAGATTTTTCTATCTGAAGATACATGAGTTTCTTCAGTTTAGGGAATTGGATGTTGACCTTCACAAATTATTGTCTCATGTATTTGGCTTTACAGCTTCTTCCCCATACTCTGGAATATGTTTTACAGTTTATATTCAAGGCTGTCCTTTGGATTTCTTAATTCCACCCATCATATTTTAAATTTGCTAATCAGAGCCCTTTCTTATTGTCTCAGTGTTCCTTTTTCATGTTAGGACATTTTGCTTGTTGTGAATGTATTCTCTTCCATAATCTCTTAAGCCCCATCCAGTCAGTTTGACTCATAGTGACCCTGTGTGGGGTTTCCAAGGGGCAGCTGGTGGGTTTGAACTGCCAACTTTGTGGTTAGCAGTCCAGTGCTGCTGATTTTACAGTGCTACACTAGGACTACCTCTCTGAGGATACCACTTAGAATTTTGTTTAAATTTTGTTTTGTATCTGAATTGTCTTTCTTTTTTTATAGTCTTGTTCTGTTTGTTATCTCGGCTTTTCTTTTTCAGGCTGTTTATTTTTGTTATATACACTCTTGTTGTTAAGAGCTGTTAAGTCTATTTCAACTCATAGAGATCCTCTATAGAGTTTCCAAGGAGTCGCTGGTTGGATTTGAACCGCTGCCTTGTGGTTGGCAGTCTAGTGCTTGTATTATAACACCAC